TTCATACACACATTACATATGTACGACTTGAACTCAAATCCTTTAAATTAATAGCCAAAACTCCTAACCAATTAACCAAAATGAGTTCTTTGGAGATAGAGTAGTTAGGCAAATATTTTAGTAACTAACAAAGTAGCACAAAAAAAAAAAAATGCCGTCTCTCTGTTAAGTTGGAGCTTATATTCTGTACGGACATCGGACGGTTCTTCCGTCTGGTTAAGTACTCAGTAACGAGTGTATTATATTTTTGGGATGATGTGGCACAATTTTATTGGTCTCCGAATGCCCTCCGAACACTGCACAAAATAATAAATTATTAAATTGAGGACTAGGAATCTACCAGCAAATAATAGAGATCCGACACACTCTCTCTCTCCTTGGATTCTATCTCCTTGGATTCTATAAACAATTATAGACGTCTCGATTTCTCTTCCTCCCTTGGAAAGAAAGGTTGAGTTTGCAGTCTAAAAATGGTCCAAAACACCAACCGCTAGCGTTAGAGTGGCACATCAAACTCTGTCATGTATGAGAGATGAATCGTATGAACAATAGATTTCACATTGGTAGATTTAGAAATGACAAAATTTTATGATTTATCATAAAAATATTTATAAAAATAAATATAACATAAAAATCATAACAAAAAGAAAAAAATTATAAGTACTATACTATAATTTCGATCCATTATTATTATTTTGATGTGTATGATTTAAAATTATAGCTAGTATGATTTAAAATAAAATTGGAAAATAAAAAACTGAATAGATTATAGAGGCTGTGAAATATAACAGTTATTTGTAATTACAAGAATTTATGAGCAAAAACTTTGAGTTTCATTATGGGGTTGTATGTGGTTGGCCGGAAAAGAAATGTAAAATAAAATAGAAAACATTGTAGGAGAAATGAAATATATTTGAAATATTTCAAATTGGTTGGGTGAGTATAAACTTGATATATCGTCAGAAAATTATCTTGATCGTGCATGAATCTCAAGGCAAAATTAAGTTGGAAACCTCAAAAACTAAATTGGAGACCATCCTTACTCTAATTTCAGCAAACTTATAGTCGAACTGAATGTCTCGAAAATAAGAACTCAATGACACCAAATTCGACTCAATCTGAGCCCAAATGAGTCCAAATCAAGATCATCGAATTTTGATATCATTAAGACATTCAAATGCTCAATAAATAGTCCATGTCGAGGGAATCCACATCGGTTGTCCATTCAAACCACTCCCAATTTATCCTTGTTCTTCCTCCAATATACTAGTCATGCCACTCCCATAAAACTTTAAATAAACCCCTCATTCTTCAATGAAGGCCCCTCGGGGGATGGGCAAGTTAGAAGAGAATGAAGAGTTCTCTTGCCACTAGACTCCCCCTTCAACAACCTCCTGACCACCGACTAACGTAAACTTCTGGCTGTCTTCAAAATGTCATCTGACTTGTACTTGCATCGGACTTCCGCCGGTCGCCAAATTTCTACAAGATTTTCAAATTCCTCCTGTCACCGGACTTTTGCCCGTCACGGGACTTCTGCCCGACACCGGACTTCCACCCAACGTCGTACATTTTACTGTCGTCGGACTTCCACCCATCGATGAACTTCTGTCCGTCTCTAAACTTTCATCTATCGATGGACTTGCGCCCGTCACCTGACAATCATTAGACTTCTACCATACGTTGAACTTTCACTTGTCCCCAAACTTCTACCTGTCGCCGGACTTCTAACCATCACTGCACTTTCGTCATACTTCTACCCGACGCAACACTTTTTCCCTTCACTGGATTTCTACCCGATGTCAGAATTCAGCCCATCATCGGACTTTCATTCGACTTCTACCCTATGCCGGACTTCTGCCCATCACCGGATTTATACTAGACGAAAAACTTTCGCCCATCTTCGGACTTCTACCCGACGTCGAGCTTCCACCATTCATCGAACTTCTGCCCGATGTCTACTGGACGCCAAAATTCCGCTCGTCGTCTAATTTCTACTAGACGCCAGACTTTTGCCCATCGTCGGACTTCTACATGACGTCGAACTTTCACCCTTCATCGGAATTCTGCATATCATCGGACTTTCATCGAACTTCTACCCGACATTGGACTTCCGCCCATCATTGAATTTCTACCCGACGCTGTACTTCTGCCCATCACCAAACTTTTGCCTAACGCCGGACTTCCGCATGTCGTTAGACTTCTACCCATCATCATACTTTCGTCAAACTTCTACCTGACATTGGATTTCCTCCCGTCGCCAAATTTCTACCAGACGTCAGACTTTTTTCCTTCAACAAACTTTTGCCAGACGTCACACTTTCTCCAGTCGCCTGACTTCTGCCCATCACCAGACTTTTATCAAAATTTTACCCAATGTCGGACTTCTTCCTATCGTCGGATTTCTACCTAAAGCCGGACTTTCGCTTGTCGCTGGACTTTAGCCTGTCATTGGACTTCTGCCCGACTCCTAACTTCCACCCTTCGGCAGACTTCTGCCCATCACCGGACTTTAGTTGAACTTCTACCTGATGCCAGATTTCCTCTAGTCATCAAATTTCTACCCGATGCTGGACTTTCGCCCGTTGTTAGACTTCTGCCCAACATCGTACTTTCACCCATCGCTGGACTTTTGCCCATCACTGTACTTACGTTGGACTTTTACTCAATTCTGAAATTTCTCCCTTCGCCGAATTTCTACTTGACATCGGACTTTCGCCCGCCACCGAACTTCTGCCCGATGTCGTACTACCATAAGTAATTAGACTTTTGTCGGACTTCTACCTGATATCACACTTCTGCCCGTCACCGGATTTCTACCATACGTACATCGAACTTACACCCGCCAACGATCCTTTCGACCTTCGTCATCAGAAAATGATCTTTCTAACCTCCATCACCCGCCGACTACGGTCCTTCCGATCTCTGTCGTTCGCTGACTACGGTCCTTCTAATCACCGTCGCTAGAAAATGGTCTTTCTGAGGCCTGCAAACTATGGTTATACCAACCAAGCAAACATATCAATATTGATTCATTTAAGTCCCATCATGTAATGCATATTATGTGATGCATATTACATCAAGTCAAGGCCTTCCCCCAATGAAGGGCCTCATTTGTAATCGACTATAAATAATAGTGGATTCATTCAATCTGGGCTAGACCCTGTAGTTTTTCCCCTTTTCAGGATTTTCCACGTTAAAAAATTGGTGTATCTTATGAATGCTGCACCTTCGCTTGTGTGCTGGATCTTCGTACAAAGCTAAGAAGTTAAATTATATATTTCTCTACTGTCGTGAATATACCAGAATGCAACAAAACTGAATGCATATAGCCCTTAACTTGTTTTAAAGTAAAATGAATGCACTATTTTTTGTGTGTATAATGATTTTTTTTAAGTTAAAAATGAATGCATTGTAAAAGCTCAAATATGAAGATATATGTTTCATTTGCGACAACTTTCTTACTGCTTCTTTAAGCAGCTTTTCAGTACAAAAATTAAAACTTTTGTACTAAACATCTACTTTAAGAAGCAATAATAAAGCTGTCCCAAATGAAGCCATAGTGATGGTTGAGCTTGCGTGTGGTGGCGGTAGGAGGTAGCCAGCATTGGCAGTAGTCGTAGGTGGTGGCAGGTGACAACAATCAACAAGAATAATAATAAAAATAATAACTTACAATGAATTTAGATATTACTCAAATTAAATGAATTCTAAATACAATAAAATTATATTAAATGGTTATTTTAAATACTTCAAAAAATTGTTCTATATTTATTTTACATCAAACTAAATACTCATATTCTTAAAATTCATCAAACTAAATACTAATATTTTCAAAAAAATTATATTTAAAATATTTATGCCAATTTTATTTTTTAATAAATTAGCCACTATTTTTTTTTAATCTTTGTGTCTTCTATTATTTGTGAAATTGCTTTTACAAAATTACACATATAGAGCTATTTGGTATACTCGAATATACGGTAAATCTTGCCAAACAGTTTTGAATTGCACCATAAATCCCAATCCAACGTAAATCCCGAATTAATGGATTTGCACCGTAAATTCGGGATTTACTAAATCTTGTCATTTGGCGGATTTATGGGCTACGGGATTTACGAGCTTGAAGCAAGCTAACTTTAGTCTTGAAGGAAGGAGGAGGGAGTTACCAACGTAGCAAGTGAGCACCCATCTTGCGAAGCACACACATCACGTGAAGTCAAAGTAGCCGCAAAGAAATGGCGACAAGAAAAAGCGATAAAGTAATAGAAAGCAAACCCATACGGCCTACTAAATTATAAATTAATCTATGTTATCATTATCAATATAATTTAAATATGAATAATTAATTAGATTACTTAAATAATTAGTAGTGTAATTAAATAATATAATATAATTTAATTTAGTAATTAGTAGTATAATTTTCATTAAATTATTTTAATTAGTTATTGTAATTTTTTTTATTATTATCATTATTAGTTGTATAATTGTCTTTAAATTAGTTTAATATTTAAATATTTAATTAAATCATTAATATAAGCATTAATTAAATGCTTTATAATTTTAAAATATCATTAAACAAAGTAATTTGGATTTAGAAATATAATTCGATAATTAGTAATATAATAAGTAATTTATCATTATAACTTATTAACTTTGCTTTTAATTATCTTTAATAAATTATAATGATAAATAATATAATTAGAAATTAACTTAATCATTACTACTTATCAAATTAATTATTTATATATTAATTATCAAATTATTTATTATATTATTAATTATCTAATTATAAGTCTCATAATAACATGTAAATTAAATTTAAAATATATTAAATTTAATTTCTAAATTAACTAGACATTTTAATTTCTGAATTATATCATCAAATAATTTCTAAAATTTTTATCAAAATTTAATTTACATTGCAGAATTTACTATTAAATCCACTTGCTGCCAAACAGCGTCATAGTTTCAAATTACAAGCTCTTTCAAGTAGAGGACGTACGCAACGAAAAAAAACAGGAAAGACGTGATGCTTTATAGTACCCAACCAGCAGCCGAGGGAGGATGGTGTAGTGAGGAAGTCTTTCTCTTCGATTCGCTTCTTCTCTCTCTCTCTCACGCAATCACTCTCTCTGCTATGCACGGCGTTCTGTGAACCCTAGCCGAAGCAAAAGCGAGGAAGTCGATTTCCCAAGACGAGAGCTGTGAAGGTAACCCTCTTTTTGTCCACCTTTTATGACGGGTTTTATTTTGATACTTCTGAACGTTTGGCAGGCTAGCAGAGTACTCCGGCTCCTCCTCTAACACTTCCATCTTCTTCTTTTGGCTCTCCTGCTTCATTTAGACTTTCTGGGATGGAGGCAGATGCGGCAGTAGAGGTAAAGCGACCATTCAGGCTGCGATGCTCGGTGCAGAACTACGACTGGGGGATGATCGGCGAGGAATCGACGGTGGGGAGGCTATTCGCAAGGAACTCTGAGCAGATGATTGAGGCCGGTAAGCCGTACGCAGAGCTTTGGATGGGGACGCACGAGTCCGGGCCTTCGTTCGTAGACCTCGGCCTCGCTGAGGGGGAGCGGCTGGCCCTCAAATCGTTGGTAGAGGAGAATCCTAGCCTTCTCGGAGAGAAGGTTGTGAAGAGGTGGGGGAAGGATCTCCCTTTCTTGTTTAAGGTCAGTTAAAACAGTGGATATCTATTTATTTATTTATTTTAGGTTGATTGGGGTTTTAGGTGTTTTGGAATTTACGAAGGGATGGGTTTTGGGTTAGGTTCTTTCGGTGGCAAAGGCTTTGTCGATACAGGCGCATCCGGACAAGGAGTTGGCGAAGTTGCTTCACAAAACGCAACCGAAGATTTATAAGGACGCAAACCATAAGCCAGAAATGGCAATTGCGCTTTCGGAATTCAAGGCGCTATGCGGGTTTGTAAGCTTGAAGGTACGTTCCCATATGCATTTTATTGGGTTGTTGGTGTATTTCTTCCTTTTATGTGAGAGTCATGCATTGGATGCTAAAGGGTTCAAGTAGAAGTTTTCTCACAAACTAGTTTAGAAGATCACGGCAGCGGTAAGCATATATGTTGCATGGCCATATATTTACTTTGATAATGCTGTACTTGATCCTCTATCTGAACTTTCAATTGCATACAAACATGATTATGTCTGTTAAATAGATATTTCAATTTAATGTCAGCATTTGATTTTTTTTCCTTTTATTTATAGTGTAAAAGCTCAAAATAGTCCCCCAACTATTAATAAATGCTCAATTTAGTCCCAAACTTTCATAATGCCCCAATTAGTCACCCTGTCTATTAAAATATTTCTCAATTTAGTCCAAGGTCAAAAGTAACAGTTAAAGTTAATCATATTTATTAATTATTCACTCTTATTATTTAGTTGATTAACTTTCATTATAATTTTTGCATTTTGTTTAGTATGATAATACTACAGGAAAATGTTTTGCTACCGGAAACAAAATCCGCTGCAAGTATAAGCTTTCCGGCGCAAAATAATCCGACGGTAATTCGCGCGTCAGAAAATCTAATCTGACGAAATTTTTTCACGGCGTTTCCGGCAAAGTTCCGGCGAAAAACTTATGGGAAGCCGGCGCCTTTTTAATGGCGTATTCCGTCGTATAATCCGCCGGAAATTTCGGTGGAAATTGTACGCTGGAAATACCGGTGGATAATCCGCCGAACAGTTATCGACGGACTGTACCGTCGGCATACCTGTCGAAAATTCCGGTGCAAATATACGCCGAAAATGACATTTTATTTTCGTCGTATCGTAGTACCAGCGGCTTTTCCGACGGAAAATCCGTCAGAAACCTGTAGCATAAAAAAACAACCTTCTTTCTTTTGAAACTAATTTACACAATACAACCTACACAAAAAATGCTAATACTATATACATTCAAACATCAACATCTAATTAAGAATGTCACCAAATATTGAACATAAATATATACGCAATAACAAAAATAAGAAGAATATCATCAACAAATATCCAATAATAAAAAAGTGAATATGTCCAAACAATAAATAAGTAAAAAAGTCCAAAAACACCTAACTATAGATGTCCACATCATTAAAATAAATAACATATACTTTGATTCAGTCTCTTCCTCTGCTGATACTGTACTCTTCCCACTCATATGCTCTCTCATCTTTTACATTTCCTTTAACATTTGAGTTTGCCGCATCTCCATCTGCTGCTGCATCTCCATCTACCAGTCAACATGTGCTTTCCTTACCTGCTCTAGCTCGGCTTTAAGGGAAGCTATCTATTGGGTATATAAAGACTCCTGGATATTTGCTGAGAAGTTGGAGCCAACAGATGTCTGCCCCTCGTATGCATAGACTTGCGAGCCTAAATCGTATACTCTGCCTTGCTGCATTTCTCCTACCGCTTGCGACCAAGTGCGGTAGTCAAAATATCCTCCACTAGAAGAACCTTCATCTGCTGCAGCCTTGCTCTCTCGAAGCCGTGTATACTCCTCCTATGAAAGTTAATAAAAATTTAAGCAATTTATACATGATATCAAAAAAATTAAACTTTTATACTTACATAGGCTCTCCTTGCTCGCTCATCAACCCATTGCTAGTCCTCCTGACGCTTGTGGGTATGACTATGCAATTCAATAGGGGAAATAAAAAGATTTATTAAAGGAAAATAGATTAATTTTTAAGTTCACATATGTCCTTTATCAATGAAAAATCTAACGGCCTCTGTTACGGAAAATACAAAGAGTCTTTGAGTGATCGGAAGGCCATCGTTTTATGTGACCAAACCATGCAAAGCGACTCTCTCTAATCTTATCTTCCACTGGAGCTACTCCAACCTTCTCACATATATGCTACTTGGTCAACCTAAGTGATTTAGAACGGGTAGGAAGATTTCATGTATCGGAGCTTCTGGCAGCAAGTGACGCCTTTTCGGAAAGCTAGACAACAAAGCTCTTGGCTGGAATTTTCTGGCCAGCAAGGGAAAAGCTGTCTAGTAAGCAGGACAGTGAGTATCCTTGCTGAAATTTGAGGACAGCAAAGAAGAATTTGCCTACAGGAATTCTGGACAGCAAATTCAGACTTCCCACGGTGCAGGATAGCAAGCTTAATGTTGGAGAAAAACTCTGTAACAGCTTTAGAAATCTTGGACAGCAGTTTGGAGGCCTTCTTGGGCCACTTCCTTGCTGGTTTTGGCTTTCCTGGAGGCAATGAAATTTCTGGCTGCAGTTTTGGGAGGCATGTAGAGAGAGAGGGAGGGGATTTGGGCAAGGTTTGGGGAGTTTCCAAAGAAGAAAAATGTATTAGGAAGGTTATAACTAAATCCAAACTCTTTGAATTTAAATTTGAATAATGCATAACACTTTCCTAAATAAGAATTTCCAAATTTGGAAAGAATTGAAATTCAAAATTTGAATTTCAAATTTGAATCAAATCCTTTCTAATTTCTCGTAGGGTGAATTATGGAAAGTCATGAAGATATTGAGATTACCGTCATGGGGGAAAAAGATGGGGTTTTGGGTGAGGCTAGAATCCGGCGGCCAAATGAAGATGGGGAGGAGGAAGAAGATGACGTGAAGGTGGATGTAGGAAGATGATAAATATGACTACAGAGAGAAGTAAGAAGAAACAACACAAAAATAAAGATAAAACGAAAGATAAAAACAAACGATAGAAAATAAAAATTGTGAGCCTTTGACTCTTCCAAAGACTGACGGGTGATTCTTTGCCCTTCTCCAAGGGACTTCAAGTCACGAGCCCGGACCCATCCTGCGGCTGGTGACAACTCCAACTCCTTCCCCTAAGAATCTCACTAACGCTCTCTCACAAGAACACAAGTGTGGACATAAATTTTTAATATCAATTCTTCATCCCTATTACAATAGCTTAAGGCCCTATATATAGGCCACAACATGAGAAAAGTCAAATTTATAAAATTGCTCCTTGGGCCACAACACTCAAATAAGCTAACCTAGGGGTAAAACAGGAAATAACATAAAATAAGAGCTAAAATTCATAAAATAACTCATAAATGACAATTTAAATTAGAGCCGTCGATTTACGATGCCTCCTGTGATAGATGCGCCAAATCTTCATGCCGATGTCCGCATCACTAAGCGTAAAAATACAATCAAGTAGCCAAATAACCATTAACTCGTACATGCATATTGTGAAAGTATAGGTGTTCATCTTACACTTTCAATGTCATTCAACGATAACCTTTCCATCACCTATCTCAAGTTGCATACTCATCATCAAATTAATCATACAAGAATCATAATAATGACATATTGACACATCAGTAAATCCACACGAGTGAAGGGCACATCGGGCGCCCGCTTCAAAAGAAGCATGCTGATGCAAAAGGCAAGTCAAAATAAAAGGGTCTATCAGATACTCCTAGAAAATCATAAAGCTAAATCAATCACATAAAATACCAAGATGACCACCAAAACCAAACAAGCATTAGCACATTTACGTTGTCAACACCTCAACACTCAATATATTAAGTTTTAGATCTACTTATGCGAAAACTTTTAGACTCTAAGGTTGACCTAATTTCTCTTGCAAATGTCTAGTGAGAACATCCATAACTAAAGCCAAAAGCATACACTAAATTACATTCTCTTACAAATGTCTAGTGACAATATCTATAACAATATCAAAAGCATACACCAAGCTTCATTATCTTGAAAATGTCTAGTGAGAACTATCATAACAAAATAAAAAAGCATATACCAAGATACCTTCTCTTGGAAATGTCTAGTGAGAACATCCAAAACAAAAGCAAAAAGAATACACCAATATACCTTATCTTATGGAGGCAACGACCTTTTCTTACCGGACGCGAGCCAAGCTAAGTGAAGAATAGTGCAAGTTTGGCGGAGTCGGTGAGGGTCGGTCGCGTTCGGGGCAGCTCTCGGACGTGAGCGAAGCTAAGAACAATGCAAGTTCGACATAAACGGAGAGGGTCTGGTCGCGTTCAGGCTCTCGGACGTGAGCGAAGGTTAGCGAAGCAAGTGGGAAGAAAGGAGCAGAATGAGAAGAAATACGTCGGAGGGGTCAAAATAGGGCCATTTTCGTCGAATTTTCCGGCAGATTATCTGTCGGTCAGGTCACTGGCGGATAATTCGTCGAATTTAAGTAAGCTGGTGCAATTTTCGTCTGTCTTTCGCCGGTTAAAATCGGCGGAGTTTTCACCGGACAATTTCTAATTTATGGCGAAAAGCTGGTGGAATATCCGTCGATATTCTTACGGCAGAAATTTTGTCAAAAATTACGTCCGAAATTTACCAGTGCCTATTCCGCCGGTTCTACCGTCGCATTTTCCGGCGTATTTCTATCTGCCGAAATACCTGACGGTAATGACATATTTTCCTGTAGTGTAAATAAAAAAATAAAAAAATATAATCTCACATATACAATAATACCAAAAATACCCTCACATTTAACTATTGCGGCTAATTTTAACTATTACTTTGGATATTGGGAACAAATTGAGACATTTTCTAATACTCAGGACTAATTGGGTCATCTTAAAAATCTGAGACAAAATTAGACATTTACTAATAGTCCGGGGATTATTTTGGGTTTTTACTCTTTATTTATACATAGAGTCGTCTTGGTTGGATGAATGTCAGGCAATGTTTAAAATTGCGTATTCGGGTATTGAGGCGTTTTTCATTCGTGAGGCGAGGCGTAAGCCTCAAGGCGTTTTGAGGCGTAAGCCTCAAATTCAAAAGATTGCGTAAACATAAAATGATAATTTTTTTATATACAAATGAATGAATAATATAAAATATAAAAAAAAAAAATAAGATATGAAGTGAAATCAAAATATCTCAATAATAAGACAACATGAAATATAGTTCAACTCAAAATTCTATCTTTCCCAAATCCCATTATTTTTTTCATTAACATATAATTCCAATTTCCAAAAATAAATAGCAATGACATATCACATAAGAACTCATAAGTCATCATCACTGTAATCACTAAGGGGTTCTTCATTTGAATCATCATTATGGTGAATTTTTCTCTCCCCTTCCTCCTCTTCTATAGAGTCCAATGTTGGACATTTACTTCAAGATTTATGTAAGTTTTAATATATATAGTGTGAGGCGTAAGCCTCATGCCAGCGAAGCGAGGCGGGCTTCAGGGCGGGCCTCAACCAAGTTGAGGCGCAAGCCTCATAAAAAGAACTCGAGGCGTAAGCATCGAGGCGTTTTTTACTGGAATTGCGCATAGGCGAGCCTCAGATTGCGCAATTTTAAACCATGATGTCAGGTACCCTGTTTGGCTGATAGTTTTGGCAGATTATTCTCTCTGGTCATGATCGCACTGTGGGATCATCCAATAATAGAAAATTTCAAGAATAATAAATGAAAAAAAACCATTTTGTTATTTTTCATAAGCTTAACCTAAGAATATTAATACTATTTTTCATAAAAAATCAAATAAATTATTAAATTAATTTTAAGATCAAATGTTTATATTAATTATATCCAAGTGATTTTGCGATAAGAAAAATTTGTCATAACTAAGGGTTTAGTGAAATCATTCATCTCCTAGGTAGTTTTTTGTGTTTATGAATTTTATAATCACATCATCTTTTGAAACATGATCTCTAATGAAACAATGACGAATATCAATATGCTTTGCGTATGAGTGCTAAGTAGGATTTTTAAAGCATATTCCATTAGCATGATTGCACATAAAGAGTACTATTTAATTGAACTTCAAAACTAGTTATTGCTTGAGCTATAAGATATCATTGTATTTAGAAAACCAAATTGATGTAGGACTAAATGTGTGGGTTGATTTTAAGTAGGAAATTACATGCTTATTACAGAGTAATCATAATTATCCAACCTCTAGCAATTTTAAATGAAAGATTGAAAATAATAAAGAGATGAATACATTAGACAATCAATTACACGATAATCATTAGGAGCACAAAATAATCAATTCAAATCAAGCTTTGCAATAATTGAAAGTTTTCAAAGGAAACCCCAATGTTAGCATTTAGGCTAGTCACTATGAAAATCTCTCACTCAACTCTTTGATAATTGGTTTAGAACGGATAAAGCTAACATAACCTTTATGACGCCACAATGAAGGAAAAACTTAGAAGAGAAAAACTTGAAGGAAAATTCGTCTTTATCAGGATTCAGAAACAAGTCGCCACTGGATGGGAGGGTGCTGTTGTTCGTAGTGGTGACGAGGGAGAAGGGGATACTCTCTACGTAGTCTTCAACGGATTTGTCGTTCTCAAAGTTGATGTTGAAGAATGGTGACCGGAGGATGTCGATGAATCCTTGATCGCCGTATATGAAGCCGTGATCTTGTTTAGGATCGGCCATTCATGTGTAATGATGTCGAAAGAGGTCTTGTTTCTTCTTCCTAAGGTGAAGTACCAAGCCTAGGAGAATAGTCGTAGGGGAGGATGGAGAAACTTGGGTGGTCGGCCAAGGCTAGAAGAAGGGTTGAATTTGATTTCAAATTTTGTGGGTTGACTAGAGAGGGAAAATAAATTAAAAACTGAAATTTAATTGAGAAGTTGATTGGAGATCTTGAAATTTGAATTTTCAATCCAAAGAGGTTTAGGAAGGGTTTTGAATACTAGAATTGAAATTTTGGAGCCAAGAAAGGGTAGAAGTGGACGGCGGCTAGGGTTTGGGGCAAGGGAGGCCGACTGCTATGGGAGGGAAGTAGTTGGGGTTAGGTGGGTGTGGGGGTTGGCAGGCTGGGCTTAGGGCCGGCGGTTTGGGGGGAGAGGAGGTGATGGCCGACAGTTTAGGTGGAGAGGAGGTGGTTGTCGGCGGTTTTGAAGGGGTGGGAGGTGGTGGCCGACGGTTTGGAAGGGAAGGAGAGGGTGGCCGGCGGTTGGAAGGGGAGGGAGGAGTGAGCCGTGAGCCTGGGCACTTACCACGGCTGGCGGGTAGTAATTTGCCCTCACCTAGGGATTTCACTCTCACAAGAACTCTCAAGCTCTCCCAAAACACAAGTGCAGAAATTTCTTTTCATTATATTCATCATTACCCTCTCCAAAGAGGAGGGGTTATAAATAGCCAATGTTACAATAAAGACATAAAAAACACAAGTGCCCCTAAGGGTCACACACAACGACTATCTCAAGTGAGGGTAAAAATGGAAAAAACTGCGATAATAAATCAAATACCTTTAATTATAATAAACCTAATAAAATGATAGCTAAAAAATAAAGTGGTGCGATCGTGGCCCTAGATCGTCGGGCATTCCTTTGGTAAACTCTCCATGGTCAGATGTCATCATCACAAATTTAACAACTTTCTCTATCAAGCAGCACAAATATATTTTCTTAGCTTTTCTAAAAGTTTGAAGCTTAATGGTTTTCTCAATAGTTTTTTGTTTTCTCAAACTCAAGGTTGGGTTTAAGGGCGAGTACTATTTGTATTCATTGATTCAAAATCTCTGAATAAACTCTTAAACTTGTTGGAGCCAAAGTTACTAGCTTGTCATTTAGTGACTTAGAACTCAATGCTCAACAAATTTCCCAATCTTTGCTTCATCCTTATGATCAATTTCTTTCTCTTCTTCCATCAAACTAGTGCAAGCATTAGCATAGTCCTCCCTTGCCACAGTTTGGAGTTTTGACAAATCGACCACTTCCTCATTCCCAAAAGTTGGCAACTCGCTTGGTATAAATGCAACATCCCCAAGAAGTTTCTGTCATTTCAAGATGATTCCGATAAAAAAGATTCGCAATTGATATATCCTTCTGTGAGATTTGTTCAAAGAAGATCACTCACAATGTGCATCTTGATGGTGACTTCATTATTCTCGCCCATACCACTCTCTTCAAATTTCACTAACTTAATTTTTTTGTAATAGAGGCGCTGAAGAAGATTCACCAATGGCGTTGCACATTTCTCGCTCTTTGTAGCTTGCTATTAGCATTGCAACAATTTCTATGCTGGTATATCTCTTGATTTTCTCCATATCTTCAAAAAAATGGAAGAGGTTCAAGTAAGAAACTCAGAAGGTAGTTGCAAAATATCTATGAAGTTTCCATGATATTGGGTTGCATTAAATTTTTTTTTTATTCTGTGTAATCAATCATACTCTATGCACTTGCTCATCAAGATAATATTTTTTTATTTTCTTATTCTTTTATGAATTTCTTCTACACCGTTGACTTCATCAGAACTCATCATTTCCAAGTGAAGTCGATGGCTACTTCACTTGATCTTGTTCTTTATTCAGAGTTCAACGTGAGTTCCTTATGTAATTTTATTTGTAATGCTCAAACGTAGCCTTTTCTGTGGCATTGTACCTAAACCAAAATTTATACATGGGGGGTCAAGTGGTGAGCTTGGGACACCCAATCATTTTTATGAGTTTTGTACTTTTCAGCAATTGAGTGAAATCGCAGAGCTTCTCTCTCTAAGTTCTTTCTCTCTTTTATCTTATTTTTTTGGTTTGATCCATACGTGTTAGTAACGTTTTGTTGTCACCCACAGACAACTTTTGATCCAACGATTATAACTTTCTCATGGGGAATAAGGATTGCACATCCATTTTTTTACATAATAAAAGCTCATTGAGAATTTTTTTATAGATCGACAACGTCATCTAAGTTTTTCTGCTTTAATGCAAGTTTTGAGTTTGATTCTTGAACTAAAAACATAAAAAGAGAGATAATGATGCCTCTTAGAAAATATTAAATAGAGCATATTTTTAAGTCTCCGCAAAATTTGAACTTCGATTTGCATATAGCGAAGCCACAGAAGCAAGATTTTTTTTTTTCTTCATAGCTGATATACCCTGAATCCAAGTTTTTGAGATTTTCTGCTAGCGGGGTTTTCATGAGTGGTATGAATGTTTGGTTACATAAGCCATTCAATTGCAGGGGTTGTTATACCTTGTTTTTTTAATAGAGGTCAGAAAAAAAAAAGACTTAATAAATATGAATGATTTTGTGCAAGCTTCTTAAGAAATTAAGGCTTTGTTTGTTAAACTATGCTAGTGCCATGCTTTTGTTATGATGTATAGAATAAAATCATCATATTGTTACATTAAAATAAGACCTGCTCCAAAATCAGTGTATATGCTTGTGAATTTTCTTTTACAGGAAATAATTTTGTCAGAGTCCAAAATTTTCCATATTTTGCAAGACAAATTTATAGCAATTGTTCTCTCTTTATTGTCTGTGCTAAGTCATGATTACATCAAACTGATAGTCTATCAAATTTGATGTTCTTCTTACATTGAAGGATTCATAATGATAGATCCTTTTCTTGGTTTCTTACCAACAAATTGTAACTTCTTGAATTTCTCTCTTCCATGAAGGGAGGCATCGCTTTTGATTTCTTCCTATAGTTGTTTGATGAAAGGTTTAAATATTGCAAATAACAGTACTCTCTAAACAACATAATCTGTTGAAGTTCTAATAATTGCTGTCTGTAGGAGCTGAAGGATGTTCTTACTCACGTGCCTGAGATTTTGGAGCTGGTTGGTACGGAAAATGCTAGTAAGGTTATGAATATCCAAGAGCTAGATGGAAATGAGGTAGTTAAAGATAGTTTGCAATCTATATTTACTACACTTATGACAGCCAGCAAAGAAGTTATTTCTGAAGCATTAAATGAACTCTCATGTCGTTTGGGCATGGATAAAAAGGTATTTAAACGTTGATTGTGGTATGAAATTTTTAATTCATGGTTATATTTTAGTTCCTGGGTTTGAATGGCTATAAACATTAATAGTATTACTCCCTTTTGGGATCTGCTTCACTCAACTGCTGGCTTAGTGTTTTTTTTTGTTGCATTTGGTTCTCTTAAACGATTATAGCATTCTCTTCAAAAAGAAAACAAAAGGAGAAAAACTTGTAGGAACAATGTAGAGGAGAAAGACTCTAGTTTTCTTATTCAACTGAGCAAGTAACAATACACTATTATTATTATTTTTTTGTAACAATACACTATTTATAGAGGATACATTGCCCACGAAAGTGCTTCGGGTTTATCGGTATTGTGAGAGGGAAAATAGGAAGGGCACTACAAATATTGTGAACTAAATACATATTATTCTTCCTACACACTGGCGTGGGGGGGGGGGGGGGCAGGGGCACGTGGCCCCCCTAAAAATAAAATAAGTTTTCTATGGAAGAGTTGCTGTGATGTTTACTAGCATTTAATATGAAAAAATGGAGATCTCATTCCATGCAAAATTTTTTGAACAACCTAGGCTTTGAAATTGTTGGCAACTTTCCAATGTTTTGTTGTTTATTTGCAAAGAGAGAACATTTAATTTTTTGACCTTAATAGGTGCATATCAGTTCTACTATTTAGAGAGTTGCCGGAGATGATTTGGTCACATAAAACATCAGTTTTCGATGATTTGGTTAGGAAAACAGATGTATTAGATATGATTTATATTAAAAAAGCCACAAATGTAGTTCGAAATATGAGCTTGAGCTCGACTCGTCTCACGAAACGAGTCGAATCGAGCGGCTCGTCGAGCTCCTGCTCTCGCGGCGAAGCCCACTGCCACGACCCGCGACCCGCTCTCGTGGTGAAGCCCGCTGCTGTGACCTGCTCTCACGGTGAAGCCCACTGCCGCGACCTGCTTTCGCAGAGAAGCCCGCTCCCGCTCTCGCGGCGAAGCTCGCTGCCGCGACCCGTTGTCGTAGCGAAGCCCACTGCCGCGACCCGCTTTCGCGGCGAAGCCCGTTCACGCTCCCGCTCTTGCGGCGAAGCCTGTTGCCGCGACCTGCTCTCACGGCGAAGTCCGCTCCCGCTCTCTTGTTCGAGCTACTCGATGAGCTATCGATCGAGCAATCGAGTGTTCGAGCTCGTGCTTGATTAGCTGTTGAGCTAGAACTCGTGTTCGAGCTCGACTCACGAGCTCGATAAGCTCAACTCGTTGAGCCCGTTAACGAGTTGAGCCCGAGCTAGCTCTCGAGCCAGCTTGACTCGGTTGCACCACTACCCGTGACAGATATTTATATCTTCTAAGCTTCAAGGGCCATATTATTTGCATTTTTAAATTTAATCTTATAGCTCCTCTTGACACCGGTAATGAGATGACAAACATAACTATTTTAATTTAGGCCCTCCTGAATAAAATTTCTGGCTCCGCCATTGTTCCTACATCCTATGGAAACAAATTACTATGAAAACTTGCAAGCAATAATCCAAATAAGCCAAGTGGAGAAGGCCCATCACATGGACAGCTGGGCTGGAGGAAAAGATGAATGTGGCATGGTTAATTGCAGCCCCTGCTAGGTAGATTTCTATTGCGGTAACAGGAGATCAAACACCAATTAATCCCCTGAATTTTTGCTGTCCGTCCCTAACAAATTTTGTTGCCCCTGAGGTTGTTAAGGTGTAATTCCACACATTCATTACCCGAATAAATTTTCATTTTTGTGGTTTATATTACCTCTCGTTGGTGCTTTCTGGTGTTCATCGATTGACTGGATTTTAAAATCTTTTCCAAAGAATACAAATTTGCGGCAACTGGATGGCGTGGCTAGTTTTTTACACTTTATGGAGATAAATGTATTGATATTTTCATAGTATAATTTCTAACTAATGTAAGACAACCTAGGTTTGGTTCCTAATGCAGCTATTGCGATACATAATATGTTTTAATGCAAAAAAGAAATTGAAGATTTACATATCACAAATTAGTATATAATTCAACAACTCAATTTTTTAAGCGAAACATGCAAAATTAGAATTTAAGATGGTCCAATTGATAACAAAATGTTTGAAAATATTCAAGAACTTCAGCAATAAAAGGGAAACATTTAAAATCAGTGAACAAATTGAATTTATTTTTCACAAATCAGATATTTGTGTTGACACCTTTTGAACAAAATCAATAGTGCTAAACAAGTTAATAACAAATAGAAGAAGGAACAAATTTGTTATTATATAAAACACGCCTCAAGCCTGTACAAAGAGATGACTTTCAAATTAGGTAGTTGTACAATGGAATCACATATCCAATTTACACTAAAAAAATTGTAACTGAAAAGAGGAATTTTATTTCAGCTATGACATGCTTCATATCATCTAGTTGTGGATTTTTCATCCATATATTAGTAGATATGATTGGCATAACAATAGGATCAATTTAATTATAGTAATACCATGATTCAAAACTTAATTTTATCTCTTGTTATATCTATGTTTTTGTCAAAATCTCAGTCATCCCTTGGCATTTGATCCCACGGTCAGGATGAGAATCCGTGGGAGGCTCACCTGGATCACGTCAATATCCTTCTATATTTGGGTAGCTGAATTAGGAAGGATTATATTAAGGCAATTATGTATCAATTAGAAGTTATTTATTTCTTTATTAAGACATCTTGTATAGATCTATAAATAGGGATAATTTTGTATAATAATTAGAAGGTATTTTTTCCCTTCTCAAATTCTATGAATTCTAACAGTTTTAAATTTAGGATACAATTTATTTAGTAAAATAGAAATACAGTTTTAGTGTTGATAAATACATTAGAACTGAAAGTCAACTGCATTTCTATTTCAGTACAAATCATCTAACTTCTAAATTAACCCAGAACATAAAGAACTAAGCTTTCTTCTCTTTTATTTCAATTACATGAATACCTTTTAACTCATCAATGTATAATGTCTGAATTTTAATTTCATTTCCCTAATGATTCACCGCATTTATATGCATAAGAAAACAAATAATTTCTTTGGAAAACAGTGTGAAACTTCTTATTGACTAGTATAATTGCACGTTAATAAAATTTTAAATAACATTATAACATTTTTAATATTATTTAACTAATTCAAAAATTTTATAAAGAGATCAAATAAATGAATTTATCATTACAAGTAATTGTAAAAATAGTTTTATCCCAATCTAACACATGCTTTTAAGATTTTAATAAAATAGTAATAATAATAGTAGTAGATCGATGAAAATTTTAGTAATATATGATATCAAATATATCATAATTGAAAAAAATTGGACAAGAAGTTTTTAGAGAATAAAAATGTAAGAATATTAACTTAATTATTATGTAACTAAATCATTTTTTAATATATTGCACACAAAATTTTAATTGAATGTAATTTGTATTATAAGATGATATGATTGTTCAACCTATATATATAGATTTTGAATAGAGTCATTTTTTATATCCAATAAAGTTTCACATGATTGTGTTGTATTACTTTCAATATTTATATAATCAAAATTTAGATTTAGGTGAAATTTAAATTTATTATTTGTAAATAAAATTAAAAGAGAGAAATTAAACATTACCTATTTTTTATGATGGTAGATATTGTATTAGACCATGAGTTTTTATCAGTTTAAGACATAATTTTCTTCATTGCCTGAGTTTAAGTAAAGCATTTAATAAGAATATGGAACTTAAATGAATATTTATATTAATTTTTTTTATAATTACAAATATTTTAAATTGGATATAAAAAGTAATATAAATAAAAAAATATTATTCAATAAAATATATCAAGATTTTAAAATTTTTTACCCTAGAATTTTTTAAACAAAGTATATAAATCAAATAGAAAATAGATAAAATCAAAATCTTAATCATCTAAATATTAGATGTTATGTTTAGGTAATCTTTGGGATTTTTATTTAGTGATAATTAATTTTTAAGATGAAGTGGTGGCCGCTATTGAGGCAATGAAGTAATGGTGTTGATGATGGTGATGGTGAGGGCCAAGGACTGTCAATTATTATAGTAATTTTTAAAATCACTCAAAATATTCAAATTTATTTAGGGTATTTTAAAAATATTTTATTTATTTTTTAAAATTAAATAAAAAATAAAATAGTTAGAAAACAAATAAAATAAGTATTATTTTTCAAAAACTAAAGTGATCACAAATAAGGCCTTAACACATACAATATAGTAAAAAAACAAATTCTTAGTACAATAATCAAGAGCATATATGAATATTTTCGTGCACATCTATAATCTTAAATAAAGATACAAGTTACTTTAACCTTTGCAAAATCTATCAAAACAAATTATTATATTAAGAAGTTTTCAAGTAGTCATTTTAAATAACAATAATTTTAGAAGTGATAATTTTAAAATATATATGTGAATGCCAACACACACTAGCAAAAGAAAATTTTACATGATTTTTTTGGCGAACGTAAATATTTATATATGTATGTAGCATAACTAGATATATTAAGATATATTTTAAACTTAATTTGAAAATTACAAGAATATGAAAAAATTTTAAGAAATTATATATAAATTTGGTTCTTATAAATTATATTTTATTATTAGTTTTAAATTGGTTAACTACTATCTGTACTACTAAAAAATGAAAAGAAAATGATATTGAATTATACTAATTTGTTGAGAAATAAAATGCAAATAAATTTGATTGAACATACTTTGGAATGTGGTTCGCATATGTATATGGAAATATGATATTGAGTTATTTCTGCAAAGCGTATTGCAAAACTTAGATCAATTTTATTGCAAAGCATATTCAAAACATATTTAAAAAAATATATTGTCTTTCACTCATAAGATCAATTAGAATTTATAACAATATATATAAATACTAAATTAGGCTAGCTCACGAGTCGAGCAGAGGTTTGTTCGAGATTGAGCTTGATAAGCCGTTGAGCTCGAAATTGTGTTCGAGCTCGACTCGTCGAACCTATTAACGAGTTGAGTCCAAGCCGGCTCGCGAGCCGGCTTGTCTCGGTTACACCCCTAGATGAAAGAAAATAAATAGGGTACAATGGATCTTCAATTCTAGAGGAAGATCTAGCTCTTTCAATCTCTAGCTGGCGGTTGATGCCTAAACAAAACCTAAGAACTCTTCAAATTTCAGAAAATATAAGATAACCTAACCCTAGGTTTACAATCCTCCATAAAGCATAAAAAACAACAAATACCCAAAATAACCCTCATAATTTGAATTTCCCTCCTATTCCCTCCTAATTATTACATTACTTGTGGACCCACCTCCAAAAGGCAATGGACTGCTGTGGAGGCGAGATACTTTCGCCTAACAACCTTGTCCGCAATGTGGAAAGAAGGCTCATTTCTCTATTTCCTCATCATCACAAACGGTGAGAACTTGAAGAGATCGGTCCTTACATCAGTGCCCTCATATATGAAATAGAGCCCCTTCAACCTCTTCTCCTGTAACTCCATTTTTGTGAGCTTTTTGAAGTTGTTCACCAGTCTTCCTCTTTCAGTCATCTCCTTCGGGGTCTACCAAAGAATATCTAGTGTCGGCTCCTTTTTTTTTTTTTTTTTAAAGTTGCATATGCATTAAAGAAGTAAAAAGAAAATACAAGTAAAAGCTATAGCTAGTGTCGGCTCCTTGGGTGTCAAAAAAGTGGTGGTCATCCTGTTTGAACCTCTTGAGCTACTGCCATAGTCTCTCTCTTCAGGTGCCTATGATCCTCCACTAACTAAGCTAGCTCCATAGCCTCTCTCCTAAAGCTTGAGGCCTCATCGCTCTAACTGCCACTCGAATCTCTGGTTTGAATCCTTTCATAAAGTTCCACTCCAATACAGTCTTTGGAAGCTGATCCAGTTGGATGGCCAGATGCTCAAATTGCTCACGGTATTCTACCACCATCCACTTTTGCGTTAGGGAGAATAATGGCTCATAGAAGTCCCCTCCTTGCTGGTTCGGAAACGTTCCAACAAACAGTTTGTTATTGCATGGCAAATTGTTAATATATGAGTGTTGTTATGCTTAACATATTGCATTATGCTAGAATGATACCACTATCATTCCTTGTAGTTGGAAATGACAAGCAAAATTGACACCCATAGGATGTAGAAATTGGAGAAGCATAATTTAATACAAACTTCAATCTTAGTTGTTTATTTTGCTTGAGTCTAATTTTTTTGTTCTCTTTATTGGATAGTGCTTTATGTTTATTAAATATGAGACATAGGAGTATTCTGCTACATAATTATTTATTATTTATTTTTTACTGCTTGAAATGCGGATGCTAACAATATTTTTGTTTTAATCAGGTTAGGGTACTTACAGAAAAGGAGGAATTAGTGTTGGTTCTAGAGAAGCAATATCCCGGTGATGTCGGTATTATATCAGCCTTTTTTTTTAATTATGTAAAACTCAACCCAGGCGAAGCACTATATATTGATGCAAATGAGCCACATGCTTATGTTTCTGGTGAGTGTATTGAGTGCATGGCGACATCAGATAATGTTGTAAGAGCTGGATTGACTCCTAAGTACAGAGATGTTCAAACTCTTTGCTCTATGTTGACATACAAACAGGTAAGTTTTTATGATCATTTCAATTTGCGATCTTTGCCCACTTTTTTTTTTTTTTTTTATATTGTTGTTGACTGGCATAGTAGAAATATTAACTGATACGTGCAATTATTTTCTTTCATGATACTTAACATTAATTGTGCTTAGAATCCATCATGTGTCATGATTAATGTAATGTATTTTGGAACTTGTCATTTGTCACTGATGGTTTTGGCCAATAATGATACTTTAGTTCTTTCACTTTCACCATCATTTCAGCTTTGTTGTGATCTATGATCACAAATAGTTAAGAGTTTGTTTACAAATCGAGAGTAAAGTATAGGGGTCCCTTTTGAATGAGCTTCCATCTTGCCAAAGCATGGTCGTGAAGTTTTAGCTACGTAAGGGCTGCCTTGCCATAAGTGTCAAACTTGCATAAGATAAATTATAATCTCCAATTAGTCATTCCACGTGTCTGATCTCTCTTTGATAATTCTCCCATCATAATTGGGGATTTTAGTTTTGCTTCCATCTTGAAATGTCTTGTTTTTTTCGCATTTTCATTATTATGGGTTCAAATATCACATGTAGCTTTATAATAAAGGATTAATCATAAATTGATTAATGCATTCTATAGGCCCGTGGGGATCAATGGAAGACAGATTGAGTCTATGTTTCATAGATTGTTGCTACAAGGAATGTGGCTCCAAGTAGGTTTACAAGGAATGTAGCTCCAAGCAGGTTTATTTTAATTCTAGAGATTGAGGTTTCCCAAAGGAGCAAGATCCTAAGATTATTTACATCTTAGGTGTCAATTAAGAAATTAATGCTTGTGCTCAAATTTTATAGGAGTGATTGATGTTTAATGAGGTGAAAGCCAAAATGAGTGAATGGTCAGGAAATGAGGACTAACCTACCAAGTGGGTATGATGTCCCTGGTTAAGATGGGTCCAATGACATTTGAAGAAGAAATGGAGTTTGTGAGACTTACGAGTTTAGGTTTAAGGGGTTCATGAGCCTTGTGGATTTAAGTTAAGAAATAGATGATCAAGATTTAACGTCAAATAAGGGATAAATATGATTCATACTCTATAAGAATTTATTCTAGGCAACTCACAAGCCAATAGGCTGAGCTTCATAAGGCTCGAACTCTAGCACATATAATGTATGAGCTATAATTTTGGGCTCAAGCTTGCGAGCTTGTTAACGAGTCGAGTTCAAGTTGATTTAACTAACTAACACCCCTAATCTTGATCACCAGGCATATGATTGACTATCTATCCGTCTTTACTCGTGGATTTTTATTGACTCGGATTTTATATCTTAATTTTATGATATGAAAGTCACCACCATTCACACCATCAACTTCAATGATCATATTTTCTTTAATTTTTATGATTTGATGCCTTAATTATGATCATGGATGATCCGATTGACATTCCTCTTTATTTGATCCCGTAATCATGATCATGCTTTCTTGCAGATGGGTTGAAAATCTGTATGATAGTCAACTATTCCTTTTGCTTACCTCTATTCCTATCGGAACTATATGTTTGACACTGTTTTGTCAACTATTTATACTTGTCCTCTAATCAATTTAATAGACTTCTGTTTTTTGCTTCGATGTTGTTTTTGAAAAATTTGAAAAAATTCTTAATGGATCGGTTTTCTAGTTCTTAAAAGGTGAAACGTTTATCAAGATTCCTTTGTCTTGTTGGAGCCTTTCCCAAAGGAATGTCCACCTCGGTATGCGATTGCAAAATCTGAGTGTTGTTTTTCACTTTGTCCTTTCAGTTTCTTGTTTTTTAGATTATGCTTTCAAACAAGTGGATTCTATAATGCTGTATAAACAGTTTATTTGGGTTAAACTGAATGTATATGAAACGTAAAATAAATAAGATATCTTTCTTATACTCCATGCAGGGCCTTCCTGAAATCTTGCGTGGGGATTCCGTGAACTCATACATAAAACGTTACGCACCTCCATTTGATGAATTCGAAGTTGACTTCTGTTTGATTCCACCAGGAGAGTTCATTGTGCTCGCTGAAATCTCAGGCCCCTCGATATGGCTCATTATTTCTGGGGATGGTGTTCTGGGGATGGGTAATGGTGCTACAACTGAAGATGTTTCTGAGGGAAACGTATTTTTTGTGCCTGCTCAATGTGAGATTTCCTTTAGTGCTGGTGCTACCAGATCACTACAGCTTTATAGAGCTGGTGTGAACAGCAGGTTCTTCTTCAATTAGTAGCAGTTTAGCACTTTGTACAACCCAGAACATAAGGGTCTTCAAACAATGTTGCCAGTTCCCAAAACTACGAGGTATTTTACTACTTATAACTAAATCCCCTTTGCCTATGTAATATGTAAGAATCCCATGGTGTAATTTGGTGTATAATTTGTATAGTTAAATAAAATTAATAATGTAATTCGAAACATTTCAGTTGTTGTGAGATATTATGAATATATCATCTCTATATGATGTCCTCATTGTTAAGGCCGCCCCCCTGATAAACTGCATTTGTAGCTTATACAAGTAAGTGGTCTAGAGGTTGAATTAAGACGTAGATCTATTTTTAAAGCATCACTCTACTTGTGAAAGTAAATAGGACTTGGATGTTGCGTGGTGGTTTATATGGCTTCATTATAACAAAATTTGAACTAAACAGTGTTTAATGTTGTTTCTACTGAAGTCAATTAGAGGAAAAGTTAAGGGAGGCAACATTGTTGTTCATCATTGTTATGCTGAAAAGTGAAAAATCAGGTGGCCCTAAATCAGCCACCGGTCATCAGAATGGAAAATAAGAGTACTACTTTCTATCCTCGCAAAATTGTGATAAAGATTAATTAGCCTTTTATAATGCTTTTTGGCACTGACAATTCAATATGTTTTTTTTTTTAATTATTATTTTTACTGACAATTCAATATGTTGTTTGTTCTCTCTTTCTACATGTCAACTTTTTGCGGTCCTTGTAGGGGTGTTAGTATTTGACACGACCTAAAAACTTGACTCGAATCTAATCTGAAAATTTCGGATTAGGATCAACCTGAACCCAAAATGGGTCTGGTTCAAGTTGACCCAGTAATCCAAAACTGACCTGTTTTGACCCAAAAATTAGCAATATTTTTTTTGTCCCAGGTCATTCGGGTAGTGTCGGATTGACCCGAACTCGAAGCGGGTCAGGTTCAAGTCCAAAAAGTTGAACCGTTTGCAAAAAATGGGTCAGGTTCAAGTTGATCCGAATAGTGTTGGGTCAATTCCGGGTTCGACCCGAAACCTACCCGTGACCCAAAATTGACACCCCTAGGTCCTTGCAAAGAAAGATAACGGCTTCTGTTTCAAGGCTATCAGAAGGCCTTTGATATCATAGAGCTCTATTTATGCATCCTTACATGTTAGTTGACTTGGTTTCAGCCAGGCCATTGATATTTCACGTGGATTAAATTAATTAAAATGTTGTATAATTCTATTTAATGTTTCTTAGTTTGTATTCATTATAATATATTTCAATATGTTTTAAATAATCAAAATTAAAAATAATGAATCTTACACTTCACTTTCTGAAGGGTCGAATGCTTTGTGTTATGCTTGCTCCTTTTAAAACATTTTCTGTAGCTTTGGAGGAGATTCTTCTCAAATTTGAAAGAAGGTTAAGGGACCATCCAACTCTATCTCAGTTTTACGTGAAGCGAGGCAGTTGTCCAGATGATCGAAGTACTTGAGGCCAGGCAAATATCTCTAAACCTTTGACTGATTTTTGGAAGCATTTACAATTATTGTTTGAGTTGGCCAAACTTTTATCCTTCTGTCAGAGAGTGGAGAGCATGATAAATATCATAATTTTATGGCTATAATTTGGGATTTTTTCGCTTTGTTTTGTTGTTGATCATATTTAAGTTTGATAATCATAGTCTGTCTTAAAAGAAACGACTCATTTTTATGTTATAATTAGTTTACAAGTTAGAACTTGTTTCTCAGCAATTTGTCACAATTCTTACAGGCTAACATATCTGGAACTGATGCATTAAAGCCAATCTGGTGGCTTGTGTAACTTGTGTTACTTAGACAGATATGCCCGGAGTAGGCCTCGTTTGGGACGGCCTTCTTACTGTTTTTTAAAGCTATTTTTTAGTATAAAAATTTTAATTTTTATAATAGAAAGTTGTTTTAAGAAGCAGTAAGAAAGTCATCCCAAGCGAAACTTTGGTGCTGGATAAACTAGTGTTGTGAAAGCAATTTATGCTAAGAAAAAGAATAAAATAACTACTTGTCATCTAAAAAATAAGTACACTTTGTAGTTTAAGTTTGTTGTAATTAAGACCAGAATAGCAGTATTTTAGAAGTGGCCAAGATATGGAACCTTTGCCTCTGGGCCTCCAACAACATTAAGGCAGGCATTATGATCAATTATGGAACAAAACATAATGTTGCTTTAAAATTTTCTATCATTTTAGAGCTGTTTGGATTTCTGACTGGTGTTTCAATGGAATATAAAAGCACATTCTGAATTATAAATGTTATGTGGACTTAACCTGTTACATAGAAAAATTTCACCCAGGGACATCCAGCTACTTCACCATGTACTGTGAGAAAGTGTTTGATCTACAGGAGATTACTACGTGCGGAGTCCGAATATAAAGAATCATTCAGTTTTGTGACTGTGAATAGTAAAAGCACAATAGTGAACAATAAAAGTAATTAATATGTTTGCTCTTCGTATAATGCCTATGAGTGCTAAGGTGTTGAAGATCAAAAAAACATATGATTAAGAAGCAAGTGATAGGGAACCACAACATCTGCATAAAAAAATATATATATTCATCATATTGAAAAGGGATGTCAGAGATGCAAATAGGAAATTTTTGATGTGATAATAGCAAATATTTTTTCAAGATAAACTTAAAAAATATTGAATTATTTTAAGATTAATATTGTAAATGAAAGCGTTTATATTGCATTAATCCCAAAATAAAAGTTTAAATTACTCTAATTCTTACTTGATCTAAAGCTTATGTTCTACAATACTTCTGTAAATACAGTGCAGATGGAGTGAAATTTTAATTACTGTTTAAATAATTTATGATATATTCACAAATGTTTTAAGTAAAACTAATAATTTATTAATCAATCATTACAATATACTTCATTGTTCTTCAATTTGGAGAAGAAATTAATGTAAATTAAAGAATCTGCATATAAATCATATTATTGAATTTAATTTCAAGTTTAGATAAAAAAAGGTTTTCTTATTTGATAAATCTTTTCATTGCAAATCTTTTATGCATACAATTAAATTGATCATATAGCTTTTATAACTCATTTATCTTGTAGAATTATATTACTCAATATTTTAAAGAGTTTTAACATCGTCATTGTCAGGTCCCAAGTCTGAGATGAGAAAAATTGAAGGTTGAGTTAGACAGTCGAGAACTAATATAAAACTTATCAAATAATCATAACATGAATTTTTTATATTACACTGTATTTCATATATATATTTCTTAAGTTTGAAAGAGTGAAGCAATATCACAATTATCTTATCCCTCAGCACCCAAGCACATAAAAAAAAAGGGGCAAGCTATTTCAAGGTAGAAAATCCTAAAGTAAGCAATGATGAGACCCACATAGAAATATTTTTTTCATGCATATATTATATTCATGCATGTAGCTTGTTGGATACATTGATCTTCTAAGAAAACCACATAGCTCCATATATGTTGTGGGAAAGCTCTTTCAGGAAGGAGTTATAATCAAGAGTTGGTAGTTGGGGTTAGGTGGTTGGGCATGCATTCTATGATGAGGTTAGGTGGCTTGGCATACATTTATGACTACTCAATTAAACTCCTAATTATGGATGCTAAGACTGGAGTTAATATCTAATGCTAGATTTAGGCTTCGTTTGGGACGGCTTTCTTGCTGCTTTTTAAAGCAGTTTTGTAGTACAAAATTTTTAATTTTTATACTAGAAAGCTGCTTTAAGAAGCAGTAAAAAAGCCGTCACAAACGAAGTCTTAGTCAATAATGGACCTCATGCTTGAAGGTAGCAATGGTTAGCAATTAGAGTTGGATGGTAATGACATACTCTTCATGATTAATGTTTCTTAAAATAGACCTAACATTCAAGATATGCATGTATTTCGAATACTATGAATTTTATATTGTCATCACAATAGCCTTTTTGTAAAATTTTCATAAAAAATATGCCATATGTATATAAAAATTATTAAATTTTTTTTTCATGCATTTTAACTTTATTTCCATAAACTAACTCCAATTGAAGTGCTATGATAGAATTAAAATTTAAAGGTTTAATAATTTATGCATTGGTAATATGATTTATTGGTGAATTTTAATACTATATATAATTACAATAAGATTTATAAATCCCAAACAAGTTGAGACTAGGTTTGTCAAATATCTAGTGATTTACTTGTGGGTGGGTATTGAGGTGAAGGTCAAATTTAATAAATGACTATGCTTGTTATTGAGTTGTTGACTCTAAGACTTTGGAGGCATTAACAAGGAAAATTGATGAGTGCTAACTTGCAGATATGACTACACTGACTTACCAACTTGTAGAGAAGTTAGTATAATTCTAAGAAGGAAACTTGACACTCATTGAAATAAAACTAAATGAAGTCAAGAAGGAACTCAACAATCTCTAAGAGGAAACACTCGGAAGATAAGAAGGAACTCAATAGAACACCACGAAGGAAGATAGAAATGCAATAAAAGGAAATTAGAAGAAAATGTCAGGGATGTGCTAAGAGAAAGTTAATTGGTAGAACTATGAGAAATAGGAGTTAATTATATTAATAACATGGAGTTATCACTAAGTGGTCAAGAAGAAGGTATCCGCTAGGCTAATAAGGTGGTGTCATTAGCAAGGCACTGATGTGAAAAAGTTGATGGAATAATATGGCAAAGTCATCTATAGAACACAAAGAAGTTCAAGTCAATGTGAGGTAAAATCGATGGCCTTAGGATGTCAAGCCATCAATTAAAACTAAGGGATACATATTAATTTGATTAGGTTTATATCAAACTACTTTAGATGAATTAAGGAGATCATTTTAAGTCAAAAATGACTCAATTGGGGATGGGCTAAGTTGCCCTCAATGTGTGTAAAATGAACTTGTCATATGAGTAAGCTAAATCGTGGTCAATATTCACTAATTTAGAATCAACAAGTTTCAAGGTTTTTACAACTACTTCATTCTAATCATGCAATTATCTCTTATGATCTACCTTGTCAAACTTTTAGTAAGGAGATTGCATTCTTAGATTGAAGACTTAAGGATTAGTCAACACATTTTGAAATCCTATCTTATTTATAGAATTTCAAAATTGGGTGGGAGAGGGAGCACATTGGTTGAAATTCAATTAAGTTTCTAACAACTCAAACATGAGGTAGGGATAAATGACTCTTTGCTCATGAAAAAATGGCATTTTGGCATT